TGATTTCTGTTGGTTCATATGCACTTTTATCCCTTCATTTGCCGATTGCTATATTGCTCGTAGTCGTCATATTGGGATATTTGGAAATGGGTATATGACAATATGACCCAACAAAAACATATAGAGGAACTTGAAAAAAGTTGGAACATATAAATGGAGGGCATATTATCGTATCTTGACACTTACATCCTAGTCCAAGTAACATAGCCTACTTGTGTTGAATGCTATTTGTATTGGTAAGAAAAAGCTATCAAGCTTTGTCTGTTTCTCTAAAACTGATTTATGTTTTTCCTTTTCTTTAGTTGCAAACTGGGAAGTAGTAGTCATTTATGTAAGAGGAAGAAAGATTGCCATTCAAGAAGAAGATTTTTGCTTTCCTTGAAATTTGAAATAGGATTAGAAGACCAAAGATGAAGAAGAATTATCGTCTTGTGGGATGTGGATGGGAGCTATATTAAACATACTGCCTGCTAGTTGCTGCAAATGGCCACAACCCTTGAAAAGAAGAGCTTTTGGAAGTGATTTTTATTTTCTTACACTCAAAAGGGATGCTATTGTTGAACTACCTAAACTGGTATTAGTTTTACTGTTTTCTAGTTTTTCATATGTATTTTTAAACAAGTTTTATTGGTAAAAAACTGTTTAGAAGGCATTTATTTAATGAATCTCGACAGATATGCAACAAAAAAGCAAGGCAATTTATTCTAAGTTGCTTGGATTCTTTCAAAGAGATGGTATGGTATCCTAGTTCCAACACATTTTCAAATACATGAATATAGGGATATTTACAAATTTATGCCCTAGATTGCCTCGGGTGAAAAAGCATAGACAAGAAAAAAAAAGTGTTCGGGCCATGATCCGACCCATTGGCATGTCTACACTTTTATATTGTAACAAAATCATTTGTTTGCAATGCTCAATGCACTAATCTTGATCTGTACAAATAAAAGGCCAATAGGCTACTCTAATGTTGCCAGCTTCTCTTCATCAACCTCAAATGCCTTCCTAGCCTGCTTCAATTCCTCTTGCATCGACAGCAATTCCGTACATCGATTTAGTTTCGGTGTGTCCTGCAGAATCAAACCGATTATTGACATTACTCTTCTAAGCACTACAATAAACATCAAAGGAAAAATAACCACTGCCGGAAACATGCTTAGATTATCATCGCTGACATAGTTGTTAAAACAAATTTATCGAATCATGTGAAAGACAGCACATCAAAATATAATTGAGAGTTTTACCTTGCGAACTAGATACAGAAAATCTTCAACAGATAGCTTTCCTCTCTTCGATCCGAATCTTGTGCTTTATGTGCCTATGACGAGGAAGATGGGATCATAGGAACATATTACAGATACTGACATCTCATTAACCAAAGATATCAAAAGGCAAAACCATAGAGACTTACCATATCTGTTATGTATTCCACGACAATGTCTTCCACAAGGGTCACAGTCTCTGGAAATGGCTGAAAATGCAACAAATGAAGTTCAAAGTTGTGATCGGATATATAACAATCATGTTTCTGGAAGACCATGCACGGACAATGCACAGCTCCGGCGCTGCAGTGCATAAAAGCAGGCAAAGGTGGGCAATTTTATGAACATTTCTCCCAATGATGCATCCATAAAATGAGATTTCAAGCTTTATTTGCATGTATTGGGATTTATCTTCCGAACTTATATGTTTAAGTATTTAAACAAGCAAATACTTCATTGATAGTGGAACATAAACATTAGCCATCAAAATCAACTTAGAGACATTATACTCCAAAACTGCATCATAGAATTGATCAAAACCAAAATCGTTAGAGGAAAGCACTGGAAGGAATTGATAAATGTTAGTCTAGCAAAAGATCTGAAACCATAAGTAACGCCAACAAACAATCTACGAACCCGTCACCGACATTTGCACATACACTACCTCTTTCCTTCGAGTGAAATATGTTGAAACTCATAGCTATAACATTGGGATGAAATCCGTTACTAGGCTGCTTCAACTCTTATTTTCCTTAAAAGTAACCCTCCAAATATTGGGAAAAACTTAGAAAACACAGCAAATACATTATATATATAGCTTACAAAAGTTACTCTTTTTCAGTTTTATTTTCATCCACATCTAAATCATGATCCATAAAAATGACAAGAAAAAAGGGAAAATTTAAGCAATGAAAAGAGCTCAATTCCAAATTTCTGAGGAATACTTACATTGGCATCATCTCCAAAGCCATACATCATATGCTGCACTGTAGAAAAACAATGGAAATCATTAGGGCAAAAAACTTGCAGGAAAATTAAGAGAATTGGGATATAAATGAGGAAACTTTGGATTACAATCTTTTTGAAAAACTCCTCTTTTGCGCTTGAAAGAAGCTTCTGAAGGCTGTGATGACCCAACTTTTGCTTTTGAAGAGGTTCCTGCTGATGGGTTACTCATTTTTATCCCAAACTGCTCTCTACTTTCACGGAATCGTAAGAAACAAACAAATCCCAACAAATACAAATTACTATTAGAAAAACATCATTAAAAGGGGTGAAAATCTTAAAACGGTTTAAAGAAAAACAATTGATTTACCTGAAACCTGAACTGGTTTCTTGAGATAAAAGGAAAAAGGAAACACGGGGTGGTATTCAAATTCAAGTTGAAGAAAAACGGGGAGAAGAGGAATATCGTATTTGTTAAAATGATAGTGAAATGGGCCAACTAATGTCTTTAGTTGTGTTGTTTTCAGCCTGCTTAAATCTATTTTCATTTTAAAGCCCAAATTTCATTGCAAGTAGAATTCAATAATTGTTTGGGTTAAAATATTTTATTTGTTATAAATATTAGAAAATTTAAATTCTAACTTAAACTCGAACATAAATAATCGTGTTTAAAATTTAATATAATTATCAAAATCATTTTTATTAGATAAATAAATCTAAAAAAAGTCAAATAGTTTAACATTTATCTCATATTAAACTCGAATTTTGAAAATAAATATAATCAAGTTCCCTTGACACTGTAGAAAAAAGAAAGAAGAAGAAAAACAAATGTTTCTTGTGGAATTGACAAATGGTATGAAGCAAGGTCACATAATCACTATTATTTGTTTTTTAGGTCAAAGAAAATTTGGAACTTCAAATCTCTTATATAAAACATTGCCAAAGTAATATGATTTGTTTGATGAAGAAGCTCTTGGAATTCCAAGATCGTAAATCAAAAACAACTTCTAAGAATATCCCCATTAAGATCATCAGATCTTTCGTTTTTCACAAAGATGACATATATTTAAGGAAATAAAATAATAAATGCGTACATATTTGGAAATTTTGCAACTGATCTGTGGCATTAGCTTTTGTAATTGGCAGGTTATGCACATGGATGATGTATCCCACTGTTGGAGCACAACCAAATCCAATTTTAAGGCCCGAGGCCTAGAAAATGAAGCTCTTTTTTTCTTTTACAATTTGGTCCTTCTTTTTTGCCTAACACCGACAAGAAAAGCTTGTCACTAAGATAAACAAGATATGATCTCACTTGTAAAAGAAGACAACAAGGCCATCAAACGGTGTACAGCTCTCAAGACAAAATGGTCCAAAACATGTGCAAGCTTTGACAATAAAAGATTGTCCGGTCTGCAACAGTGGACACATGTGGCTGGATATCATTTAATGGGGCAGATGATCCGGTTGATCATCAAGTTTTAACCCAAGACAAAGTGGTAAAAAGGTAGATTAGCTCTTTTCCATATATAAAATGGGAAGTTGCTAGAATGAGCTAAAGTAGGAGAAAAAATGGAGCTTTGGGGTGTTTTAACCTCTGGGGTTTTAGTTTCCTGGTGGGTGTTGAGTGTAAATGGTGTTGGCTTACCAGTGCCCCCATGTGCATTCCCTGCAATTTACAACTTTGGTGACTCAAACTCAGACACTGGTGGGATTTCAGCTGCTTTTGAACCAATCCGAGCTCCTTATGGCGTGCCCTATTTTCACAAACCATCTGGTAGAGACTGTGATGGTCGCCTCATAGACTTCATAGGTAAACAAAAGAACAGTTCATAGAGAACTTATTATATTTCCATGTCTAAATCTTGTTCTTTTGTTCTTTACTTTTGGCAGCTGAGTGGGTTAAGTTGCCATATCTTCATGCATACTTGAATTCCTTGGGAGCAAATTTCAGGCATGGGGCGAATTTCGCTACCGGAGGATCAACCATTAGAAGGCCAAATGAGACCATTTATCAGTATGGGATAAGTCCATTTTCTTTAGATATCAGGTTGTGCAATTTGAACAGTTCAAAGCAAGGGGCTGCTGAAATGTACAAGCAAGGTTGAATTTACAAGTTGTGTGTTTGATAGAATGTTGATATGAAATTTAACAAAAAAAAAAATTTGACACTGTTTTAATCCTGTTCTTTGGTAATCCTTAGCTAAATATCCTTCTGAGAAAGACAAACTTCCTAGATCTGAGGACTTTGCTAAGGCGCTTTACACCTTTGACATCGGCCAAAATGATCTTCTGTTGGGTTTAGGCGCTTGAGTTTTGATCAATTGCGTGCAGAAATGCCAGATATGATAAACCAGCTGGCGTCAGCAGTCCAAGTAATTTCCATTCTTTCGGTCCATGTAGTTTCAGATTTTTATTCTTCTTGAAGTATCACATCTGAATCCGGTACTTTTTCGAGTAACGAGTCTTTTGGTTTAAAAACTGCCAATGTTGGATCATGACAGTTTTATATGTGTCAATGGCTTTCTTTGTTGACATTTTGCTTCATCATTATGTTCAACTAGCAGTATTCTTAGAACTTTTACGAGAAGATGCAAAATCAGACTGATCTGTTTGTTAAATCCAGCGTCTGTATAAGCAAGGAGGGAGGACATTCTGGATACAAAACTGGTCCGATTGGTTGCTTGCCGGTTAACTTTTTCTACTTAGACCCGACCCCGGATATGTTGACAGTACGGTTGTGTCAAGAAGCAAAATGAAATGGCCATGGAATTCAATAGGCAGCTTAAGGACAGAATCATCAAGCTACGAACGGAGCTCCCTGAAGCTTCGATTACACTTGTGGATGTCTATTCGCTAAGATTTCAATGATTGCCAATGCTAAGAATCTAGGTAATCTCCCATTGCTATACAATCAAGCTTTTACTTTTTTTGATGATTAAGGTTTGGATTTGATTGCATCTAAGCCGACATAAACGCAATGCAAGGCTATCTTCGATCTTTGCTGTAATATATGCTTGAATGCTTCTTCTTTATTAGTTTAAGCTTTGGTTTATAGGAATGGCAGATCCATTAAAGCCCTGCTGCGGATATCATGTGAACTATGATCATGTATGGTGCGGGAACAAAGCAATCGTCAACAAAACCGAAGTATTCGGAGCTTCATGCAAAAACCCTTCTGCCTTTGTAAGCTGGGATGGAGTTCACTACTCTCAGGTTGCAAATCAATACGTTGCAGATCGTACACTCAACGGATCGTTATCAGACCCGGCAATTCCAATCACTCAAGCATGTCAGAAGCAGTAAGACCTTTGATTACTGAAAAATCATTGTTGATTAGCGTTGGTTGAAAAAAACAATTGGAGCACCATTTTCATGTATTGAAGGTTTGTTACGTTCAAAATGCTCTCAAATATCATACAATAAGACCTTGAGAAGTATTAAAAATATTGAGGGCCAATAGAAATATTTTGCTTTTCCGGACTTTAGCGTCCGAGCACGAGTATGATCAATTTCAATTTTCCGGATCTTTGTATACGGAGGTTTAAACCCCTTATAGAGTGCAACGGCCCGCTCCTCAAGTAAAATGCATCACTTATCTAGTCGAATGCTCGAGTCCAGTGCGATGGCAACCCAAACTACTAATGAGAAAGCATTGAAGACCTTTAACTAAAGAAAATGGATACAAGTGGCAATCTTTCATTACTGATCCAACACGTGAAAATCCTCGTTAACATGTTTAGGGCGCCAACTCTAGTCTTCTTCATCATCAAATTCCAGTAAATACCTACACGAGACCGAAAAGAATGGCCATGCATTTCAGTAACACATGATAAATAATAGATTATTATTATTAGTAATAAGATTGTTTATGGGGAAGATTAACAAATGAGGCCGAACTCAAACAGGCAAAGCAATACAGGGTTTCACTCATCAGTATGGAGGATGTTACTCACTCATTGGATTTCCTCTGGAAAGACACGATACGGTGGACAGCCCGCCAAGAATATGCACACAAAGTAATAGTCATTTTGTTTAGCAAATGAACAAAAAAAAGTAAAGAATATGAATTGATCCGAAAGTATATATGGGTACTGAATGATGACGGTGGTGACAGGAATAGTTACCTTTCGAGGCGTACTAACGACGGTTGCTTTATAGAGTGCGGTTGTTCCCGGATAAACGGCCAAAAACATGTCTACCAGCAGGAAATCTTGAGTACTAGGAGGATCATTCCTCTGGGAAATGGTATAATGCAAGATGCAGGCAGCTTGTACTTCCTGAAATCGCAGTAAAAAAATTGAGATCTTCTGGATGAACTAGCTCCAGCTATATGAAAAACTGAAAAACAGAAGCTACCAACGAACATTGATTCAAGACATCGGCCAAAATGATCTTCGTTGGGTTTAGGCGCTTGAGTTTTGATCAATTGCGTGCAGAAATGCCAGATATGATAAACCAGCTAGCGTCAGCGTCCAAGTAATTTCCAGTCTTTCGGTCCATGTAGTTTCAGATTTTTATTCTTCTTGAAGTATCACATCTGAATCCGGTACATTTTTCGAGTAACGAGTCTTTTGGTTAAAACTGCCAATGTTGGACATCATGACAGTTTTTATGGTGTCAATGGCTTTCTTGTTGACATTTTGCTTCATTTATGTTCAACTAGCAGTATTCTTAGAACTTTTACGAGAAGATGCAAAATCAGACTGATCTGTTTGTTAAAATCCAGCGTCTGTATAAGCAAGGAGGGAGGACATTCTGGACACAACATGGTCGATTGGTTGCTTGCCGGTTAACTTTTCTACATACTTAGACCCGACCCCGGATATGTTGACCAGTACGGTTGTGTCAAGAAGCAAAATGAATGGCCAATGGAATTCAATAGGCAGCTTAAGGACAGAATCATCAAGCTACGAACGGAGCTCCCTGAAGCTTCGATTACACTTGTGGATGTCTATTCCGCTAAGATTTCAATGATTGCCAATGCTAATCTAGGTAATCTCCCATTGCTATACAATCAAGCTTTTACTTTGTTGATGATTAAGGTTTGGATTGATTGCATCTAAGCGACATAAACGCAATGCAAGGCTATCTTCGATCTTTGCTGTAATATATGCTTGAATGCTTTTCTTTATTAGTTTAAGCTTGGTTTATAGGAATGGCAGATCCATTAAATCCCTGCTGCGGATATCATGTGAACTATGATCATGTATGGTGCGGGAACAAAGCAATCGTCAACAAAACCGAAGTATTCGGAGCTTCATGCAAAAACCCTTCTGCCTTTGTAAGCTGGGATGGAGTTCACTACTCTCAGGTTGCAAATCAATACGTTGCAGATCGTACTCAAGGATCGTTATCAGACCCGGCAATTCCAATCACTCAAGCATGTCAGAAGCAGTAAGACCTTTGATACTGAAAAATCATTGTTGATTAGCGTTGGTGAAAAAAAAAAACAATTTGGAGCACCATTTCATGTATTGAAGGTTTGTTACGTTCAAATTGCTCTCAAATCATACAATAAGACCTTGAGAAGTATTAAAAATATTGAGGGCCAATAGAAATATTGCTTTTCCGGACTTTAGCGTCCGAGCACGAGTATGATCAATTTCAATTTCCGGATCTTGTATACGGAGGTTTAAACCCTTATAGAGTGCAACGGCCGCTCCTCAAGTAAAATGCATCCTTATCTAGTCGAATGCTCGAGTCCAAGTGCGATGGAAACCCTAACCTACTATTGAGAAAGCATTGAAGACCTTTAACTAACGAAAATGGATACAAGTTGGCATCTTTCATTACTGATCCAACACGTGAAAATCCTCGTTAACATGGTTTAGGCGCCAACTCTAGGAATTATTAGACACATTTTTATACACACATCTCATTGTCTATGTCCTTCTGGAAATGGAACCACTTTGTGAAATGGTACCATCCTCTGCGGCAAAGCTCCGTCTTCTTCATCATCATCAAATTCCAGTAAATACCTACACGAGACCGAAAAGAATGGCCATGCATTTCAGTAACACATGATAAATAATAGATTATTATTATTAGTAATAAGATTGTTTATGGGGAAGATTAACAAATGAGGCCGAACACAAACAGGCAAAGCAACAGGGTTTCACTCATCAGTATGGAGGATGTTACTCACTCATCGGATTTCCTCTGGAAAGACACGATACGGTGGGACAGCCCGCCAAGAATATGCACACAAGTAATAGTCAGTTTTGTTTTAGCAAATGAACAAGAAAAAAGTAAAGAATATGAATTGATCCTAAAGTATATATCGGGTATGAATGATGATGGTGGTGACAGGAATAGTTACCTTTCGAGGCGTACTAACGACGGTTGCTTTATAGAGTGCGGTTGTTCCGGATAAAACGGCCAAAACATGTCTACCAGCAGGAAATTCTTGAGTACTAGGAGGATCATTCCTCTTGGGAAATGGTATAATGCAAGATGCAGGCAGCTGTACTTCTGAAATCGCAGTAACAAAAATTGAGATCTTCTGGATGAACTAGTTCCAGCTATATGAAAAACTGAAAAACAGAAGCTACCAACGAACATTGATTCAAAAATTGACTGCATAAGAGAATTTGAGCCTTGATATAAATCTCGTAATTCAGTCTCAATCATCAAAACAAATAAAAACAGGGTAGAGTCCCCTGGACCAAAAAGTAATGAATAAGAACATGATATGGAACGAAGTATAAAAACCTTACCTTTGGACGCCACCTTCTTCATCGTCACCTGGCTCCTCATCCAATACTTCAAATCTGCAAATATGAAGATCAACTTAGAAACAGGAATAAAGAAGATTCTGGACAGGATCTTTGCGCAAGCCAAAATGAAATGTCCTATATGAACCGTACTTTTGTTTTTCTCATCGAAATTTGTCACTTTTACAACAAACCACTCATCCTTCTCAGCATCTGCGGTGACTCTTGCAGCTACCTGAGTACAAGAGGTAAGGGAAAGTAAATTTGGTCTAAGAACCAAAAACAACGGTTGAATAGATTGTGACAGAGCTGCACAGACAATTATGGTCTACAAGCTTACTTGTTCATCTTTGAGACTAACACAAGCCTCATATGACTCCGCATAGAAGGAGAAATGCGAGAGATATCTGAATCAGATTTTTCTTTTCCTTTTTTGATTGCCATCTGCAATTTGTTTAAAGTTAGCAGCATAAATGGGCCGTTCGATACACTAGTTCTAGTATCAGAAATCTACACATGAAAATGACTTTCTGCTTTGGCACATGCCATATATTCAACCTTCTAGATTCAAAAGAATAGAGAGATCATAAAGACTTCGTAGTTTCAACTAATTGTCGAGTCCTTATTTATTTTAGCTATCATGATAGTATGCAAATTTAGTCATTTAAACACAAGAAATTCATAGGAATTAGCCAAGCAATTACGCATTTCGTTAAACTAAACAAAAGTTGCAGGTCAAGGAAGGAAAAGAGAAACAAAAGAGGATGGAGAAAATCAAACTGCAGAAAATTACAGCTATATCTTAACATCCTCTTTGATTACTCGATAACTAAATCGAACCCTTCCACAAGTTTAAGGATAAGTTCAATCAACTGCCAAGATGGTTATGAGAGGACCATAACCTCAGGCATTATAAGAATGTACGTGCTAGGATCCCTAAATATCGTCATGCAAGAGAGAACTCGACAGAGAGGTTAGAAGCAACTTAAATGTCTCATACAGACATGGAAGGTAGCACGCACCCATCTTTCTTCGTTGTTGTCCCGGAGGTCCAGATGGCAGATAAGTGTCAAGTTGACCAAACTAATGAGCTGGAAATCCTGTACCAATGCCAAAACGCAGGTATTCATAAACAAAATACGGTAATGAGAATCTTAAAAAGGCCTGCCGAACCGAACCAGTAAGTTCATGCTCAGTACAAAGAAATGGTAGAAAATAGAGATACTGAACGTACACTACTTCTCTCTCTGAAAGATCTTTAGCTTGAGTATATAAACTTTTTAGCTTGATAATGAAGAATCACCAGGTTTCAACTACTCAGGAGCTGCATAGGTATATCAAAGCTCAAAATTAGCAAAAAACAATTGGTAATAGTTAATAAGAACATGAAATAAAGCAAAACAAGGAAGAAAAAAAATACTCTTAAACCAAGAAAATAGTTGATTCAGAGTATAGCTTTTAAATGGTAATGACCATATGGATCTCAAAATTCCTTAAACCCCAATGAATTGACAAAAAAAAAAATCATTTATCGTCTTGTTGCAATTCAATACGAAAAACTAGATATCAGGAGTAAGCTTAGAACTTGGATCTCTTTCATGCTAACATTCTCAATTAAATCAATCAAGACATTTTCGAAAAAAATAGATACCATGAGTAAGTTTATGTTAAGAAAATAACAAAATCCGAACTAAAGCAACGAAATGGATATTTGAAGCTCACACCTATAAGCTAAATTATACATGAAGCA